CCCCAGCCCCTGGGGAGAGGCAGGGAGGGAGAGTGGGAGGAGCAGGGCCGTGCAGTCTCTTACCCTGCACTTGAATCCCTGCTCCACTGGCTTTTTGAGTTCTCACAGAAGCTCTCAAACCAGCTACCAATCTTGCCCCCTCACGGGGTTGCCACGTGCTTCTGGTGAAATCATGGGTGAGAAAGTACTATGTAAACAGTCTGGTTTGAATTCTGTTTAGGTGTCTCCCGGCTGTATTTCTGTAGGAAGCCTAAACTCAGTTTTATAATGCTAACGTAAGTGCTCAATAAACGTTAGCCATGTGGCAGGCGCGTGCTAGGAGCTTTGGACACTTGATCCTGTGTAATTTCATCCCCACGATGACCCTTGGACATAAGTATTATAATCCCATGTTTACAGTTGGGGAAACTGAGGCCCATAGAGTTAGGTGGAGCAGCTTTCCCAAAGTCACCCACAAGTTAGTTGTGGAACCGGACTTGAACCCAAGCCAGACTGACCCCCAAGGCCTGTGCACAGCCTTGGGTCGTGGTGGGTGAGCTAAGAAGTCATCCAAGCCAGCTCCCCTCCTCCAGCGCAGGAGGGCCTCCTCTGCTCTAGGCCTGCTGTTCCTGATGTTTCCCTAAGGCACTGTGATCTCTCTGCTGGCTGGTCTCCGCATTTTCTGGCCAATCACCATAGATCTTTCCGCTGGTCCTCCTTGGTTTCTGGGCACTTCTTGGCCCCTCTCCCTCGGTCTCCACCCACACAGGTCCCTAGCACTTTCCAGCGGGCTTCCCTTTGTCCCTACCACTCCAGTCACTGCTGTTCCTGCTTCTCCTTCCTATCTGCTGTTCTTCAGTCCTCTCTCTACTTCAGACCGTCCTCACCTTCAGGTCTCAGCTCCAGGGCCGCCCCGGTCATTACCCTTTCCCTCTTCCGTAGGTGTTTATTTGGCACCTCCTTGGTGCCAGGCCCGAGTGCACCCCTGTCCTGTGGGAATGCCTGTCTGCTGGGGCAGGTGGCTGTGAAAACAGTGACTTCACAGCTGGATCAGGGTTGTGGAGACAGTGAAGCTGAGGGGCCAGGGAGGCCCTAGCTCTCCCCAGGGAAGAGGCAGGGATGGGGGAGGGGTTGAAGAGGGAGGAGGAGGGACCCACCTGGCAGATAAGGCAGATGAAGGGATTTTAGGTGGAAGCAGCACCCACGTAGCAGAGGAACAGAGGTGGGTGAGAGTGGTTGTCTGAGGAACCCAGTGTGGTCTGGAGCTGGGAGAGCAGCTGCGGGGCAGTGACAGGAGCCCCAGAGTAGGGCCTTGATTGTGAGGGCAATAGGGAGCTACTGAGGATTCTTGAGCAGGAGAGGTCCTGCTCTGGCTTGCTCTTCAGAAAGTCTGTGTGGTCCTAAGGGACAGAATGAAGTCCTGTAGTGGGAGAAGTTGCAAAGACTGGGTCTAGCCTCCCTGCAAGGCAGGATGAAGTGGGTTGTGGTTGTTGGGTTGTTGGGTTTGGGTTTTGGAAAGTTCCCTCCTGTGCTGTGAGGCTGGAAGGAGAGAGACGAGAGGCCTGTGGACAGGCTGTGGAAACAACCCAGTGAGTGAGCAGTGTGAGGGCCTGGGTGCAGCAGGGCAGTGGTGGGTAGACTGAGAGTTTAAGGAGGTTGGATCACTGGGATTTGGCTACTTGGGGGAGGGAGGAAATCCAGCTAAGGCTGTTAGCGTGGGCCTGTCGTCACATTGCCCAGATGGAGCCCTGGCCTGGGAGGCTTTATCCTGGACCTCCTTTCCCTCTATGTGCCTCCGTCTCCCCAGTTGTGAAGGGATTGGGCAAAGTGGCCTTTCTTGCTCTGCCCCAGTTTTGTCACATGACTCTGGCCCAGGAGAAGGGGCACAGAGCCCACAGTGTAGTCAGCTGGGGCCTAGTCTGGGGATAGCAAATCTGGCCATGTCTGCTGTGACTGGTGGCCAGCGCCTGGCATGCTGCTGTCTGAGAGCGCACGTCTCTGACCCTCGGATGCCCTCCCCACCTTCGTGTGGGCTCTGCTCTCCCTGTCAGCTGTCTTGGCTCAGCCTGCCTGGCTGCCCCAGGCCCTGACTCTGTCCAGGGCCTCTGCTCTCCCCATGACTGGCCCTGGGAGGAGTGGCCTGGTTCTGGGGCCCCATTGGCTAAACACTGCCTGGGCCACACACGCCCCTGCCTCTTGGGCTGGCTGCCTGCCCACCTTGGGATTAGGAGGAGACCTGGCCTGCCCTGGCCTGATGTGGCAGACTGCCTAGGAGCCCATGTTGGAGTCTGAGAGGCTGTGCTTGGGGCCTCCAGTGCTGCTTTGCCCCCTCTGCCTGTGCGACAGCCCTGGGGCTCTGTATGCCTCCCTTTGACGGATGTGGACACCTCACAGTGGGGCTTGTCCCTCAGGTTGCCTGGGGTGGGGTGGGAGCTCAGTCCTGCTTGGAACACAGTATTTCCTGTCTGACAGGTGACAGGGCTCCTTAGCTTCCTCATGGGAAAGCTCAGCTGGCTGTGCCTGAGCCCTGCAGAGTTAGACCCAGGGTCCTGGTACAAGGGCTGGGGTGCCTTGGTGATTAGCAGTCTCCCTGCCTCTGCCTAGTGAGTGACAGATGAGGCTCAGGAGGGGAAGGGACTTGCTTAGGATCACATAGCACCTGAGGGATAGGGCTGGATTTGAACTCAAATCTGTCTCTGGACATTCCTCTACAAACCTTGGATAAGGTCCTAATGTGTGCCAGGCCCTTCTAAGCATGAGCACTAGAGTAGGAGCTTCTCAAAGGATCGGCCCAGTTTATCTTGTATTCTCAATGTTTGGCTGAGGGCCCAATACAGAGGAGATACTCAGTGAATGAATGAATGAAATGAACAAGGTAAAGATCCTAGTTGTGGGCAGGTAGACTCCAATGGCTGGGACTTTTATTTCAGAGACAGGAAATAGGAGGCTGGTAGGAGTGGGGATTGGCTAGGTGGGAAGCAGAGAGGATTGATCTCAGGTGTCCTGACTGCTGGTCTAGGGCTGTTTCCATCCTGACCTTCATCTGTAAAATGAGGTAAATAGTCTTTACCCTCTGCCTTCTTTGTGAGGATCCAGTGAAGTGGTGAATGAGAATAGGCTTGTAAAGCAGGGATATTGCGTGTGGGGCTTCCCTGTGTGCACATCCAGAACTGCCCAGAAACCCCACATGGTCTGCTTCTTTTCTTCTGCCCCCTTTCCCTCTGCATCTTGCCTTCCCCATTGCCCTGGCTTTCTCCAGGGCTTGTTTCTGGAATGTTCTGCCCAGAACCCCTAGTTGTGGGAAGGATTTGGGAATAGGTAAACAGAGTCTGCCTACCTCCTCCCTCTAACCGTCTCCCACACCGAAAAGCCAGCCACCCGCATCCACATCCAGGCAGGCCCCCGATGCACACCAGGCCAGAAATGCCTTGGCAGTGGTTACCATGGTGACAGGTCCTGCTGCTTGGACCTCAGGGGCCTGTGAGCTGCCTGCACGAGCCTGGCAGCCTGGCAGCCTGGCACCTGCAGGCCTCCACCCAGGCTGCGAGCTCCTGGAGTGGCTGCTCCCTCTCCTTTTGGTGCCTGGCACTGAACCTGGTACCCAGGGTCTCTTGGGAATGAGCTGCCTCTTTTGGAACCCACAGCTGCTCTGGGTCACACAAGCCTGGTTCAAATCCCATTTCTACCACGTAGGGTGTCAGTGATCTTAAACAAGTCACCTCAGTGTTTTGGATTTATTAAATTAGCTATAAGATCCTCATAAGGGAAAATTTCCAAAGCATACGACCCCCAGTGCAAGACCCATCCTTACCCTGAGCCATCGCTGCCCCATCCTGTAGCACTGGCAGGGTCTGCATCAGGTCACGGCACTCTTTGCTGCTGAATCCATATCCAGGCCCCTGGACTCCTCATCTCAGGCCCCAGGAGGCCCTGCAAGCAGTGTAGTATAGTGGGTAGGACCTCAGACACTGTGGCTAGACCTCTGAGGTCACAGCTGGGCTTTGTACTTCCTTGGGCCTCAGTTTCCTCATCTGTAAAATGGGGGTAATAATGTACCTATCTCAGAGATTTGTTGGACAGGTGGAAGTTGAATTAGTACTTGTAAAGTGCTTAGAAGAGAATCTGATAGTTACTAAGCACTTTATAAATGTTAGCGGTAACTGTTATCACCGCACTTGACATTGGCCATGAAAACTGGAACCCTGGGCCTGTTCCTCCTGTCATTTTTCTCACACAGGCAAATGTCCCCAGCTCTTGTTCACAGTCTGATGATCTCTGAGTGCTGGTCCTGTACCTTCAGGTCCCTGCTCTGACACAACACAGCCTTACATGTGGCTGCTCCAAAACGGGCTGGGCCCCAGGCAGAAACTCTGCCTCTAATTCATGAGTTTGAGGATTTTCTCTGGGTGGATTCTTTGCTCAGTACCTCTCCCTGCCACCCCCCTCAGGTCCAAGGTTTTGTTAATACAGAGTTGTTGGCTAAAAGGAGGGTAGGGATAAGTGGCATCCAGAGAGCCTCTGGGGTCTGACACCCTGGGCTGGAGGGTGCTGGCCGCTCTTGGAGTTGGGGTCTCATGGGAGGTGGTCCTCAGGTCTCAGGGAGATCTGGGAGACCCTGCTGTGAGCTGACCTCTCTGTCCCTGCCTGTTCCCCAGGGCCTGGCCTCAGTGTTCTCCAGCCGTACATCCCGGAAGTCGGCCTCACGTGCTGAGAACACCATGGCAGAGGGCGAGGGGTACCGGAACCCCACGGAGGTGCAGATGAGCCAGTTGGTGCTGCCCTGCCACACCAACCAGCGTGGCGAGCTGAGCGTCGGGCAGCTGCTCAAGTGGATTGACGCCACGGCCTGCCTGTCTGGTAAGGCTCCCCTCCCAGCGCTGGCTCCGCACACCCAGAGGAGAGGCCTCTGTTTTCAGAGGTGGTCACTGTCCCCTGGGTGCCGTGCTCCTCCCTCATCCTGACCTTTGCTCATGCTGCTCCACCTGCTGTGATGCCCATTCCAAGTTCTCCATGCTCAGTGCAGGCCCACCCTCTCACCCACAAACCCCCAGGGCTCCCAGTGCTGGTCCTGCACCCTCAGGTCCCTGCCTGACACAGCAGAACCTTACACGTGGCTATTCCAAGATGGACAGCATTTGCTGTGAGCAAAGCCCAGGGCTGTTGGCCTGAACCACCTCCCAACACTGAGTAGAGCTGAGTGGAGCTGGATTGAGCTCATTTCATTGCCTTTAGCGTACCAGTTTTCTCCAGCCCGCAGGGAGTTCACAGTCTAGTGGGGGAGACCTGACTGCCCCCCAGCAGTGTTTCATGGGGCCTGGGAAAGGGAGGCGGAAGTGGGGCTGTAGGAGAACAGACCAGTGGCCCTGACCCAGCCTTGAGGGTAGAGAAGGGATTCTACAGGGACGAGTGCAAGGGAGCAGGATCCCGAGGGCAAGAATTACTCAGGCAAGGAGACAAAGGTGGGTGAGGTTGACTGGGCAGAGGTCTGGGCACTCGAGGAGGCTTGGAAGTAGAACAGCAGGGTGTGATCATTCATTCATTCAACAGCTGCTCAGGGAGTATCTCCTGTGTGCCAGGCCCTGCTCAGGACTGGGACGCAGCAATGAACAAGACAGGCAAATGTCCTTGCCCTCGTGACTCGTGATCTAGCAGAAGGGAGAGATGACACCCAGATATGTAAGACAGGGTTAGGGTGTACTAACCCCGGGGAAGGAAGTACAGAAGGGTGGGATGCGGGTGAGGGGGCAGGCCTTAGCTAGGTGGTCTGACATTTGATCAGAGGCCTGTGTGCCACGGGGAGGCTGCTAACGCATGGCTTTCTTCTCCTGACGCCAGCGGAGAGGCATGCTGGCTGCCCCTGCGTCACGGCCTCCATGGACGACATCTATTTTGAGCACACCATTAGGTAAGTGGGCCCGCCTGCCTCTCCTTCTGGTCTCCCCGCCCTGAGCCCAGGGCACCTCCCCAACTCCTGCCTGGTCAGCCTGTGTACTGCCTGGAGCCCGTCTCTGCGGACTGAGGGCCTTTGCAGATGCGGGAGGGCGGCCGACTGGGCTGCAGGGTGTCTGGGGCAGTGATGGGTTCAGAGCTGCCCTGTAGCTGGGTGCCATGGGGTGTGGGCTCCCTCGGCCAGGTTTAGAATTGGACATTACTGAGATAGCATCATGGGATGCTGGGCAACTTTGGGGAAGTCAGTCTCTTTCTCTGGGCCTCAGTTTTCTTACCTAAAGAATTAATCAATGAATGCCTTTTTGAGCTCAGACATTCTCTGCGGGTCATTGGTCACCAGACTTTGCGGAGGTCCCTGGGCAAAGTGCCTTGGCAAAGCCTGAGCCAGGAGCTTGAGCCACTCATCCTCTGATTACATACCTCCAGGGATGAGAAGCTCACCACCTCCCAGTTTCTTTCTTTCTTTTTTTAAAAAATATCTGTACTGGTTAGAAAGCTCTTCATTATAATGTGCTGAGCTTTGTCTCCACACAGGTTTGCCAGGACCCAAAGAACATCCAAGCCCTTGGCCCAGGACAGGCTGCAGGGGTGACATACACTGCTCTGACCCCCAGGCCTGCTCCTAACCTCTCAGTGCCCAGGACATCAAGGGCCAAGGGCTTATTCGGGGCTTCCTGGAGCCCCGTGTGTCGGTTAAGGAAAGTTTGGCTAGTCCCTGAATTCATTTATTAAGTCATTCATCACTACTTGGACTTTTTCTGGACCAGTGCCCACTCTGGGTTTGGGGTCCACAAAGTCAACTGGAACATAGTCTCTGTGCCCCAGGAGCTCCCAGTCAGCAGGGAAGCAGATGTGGAAACATAATTTCAGTTCAGAAGGATAAGTTCCTCTGACATACTGGTCCTTGGTAATACTTTTTCTGAATATCTTTTATTTTCGAATAGTCTGTGATTTACAAAAACACCGTAGATCGTACAGAGAGTTCCCGTACACCCCACACCCAGATTCCCTATTAGTAACCATCTTACATTTATATGGTACCTTTGTCACAATTAATGATCCCATATTGATGTGTTGTTTGTAATGCCTTTTTAATACATTAACTTATTTAATCCTCAGAACAATACTATGAAATCCTGGCGATTAGTATCCTCATTTTACAGATGTGGAAACTGAGGCACAGAGAAGTGAAGTAACTTGCTAAGCTCATATGGCTGGTGGAGAATGCAGGATACACTACCAGCCAGGCAGGCTGTCTGGCCCCAGAGCACTTGCTCTTAACCAGTGGGCTACATTGTCTTTATGCCCGGGTGTGGGTGTGGTGGCAGAGGATAGTCAAGGGAGGCTTCTTGGAGGTGTTTGAGCTGGCTCCAGTATTGTATGTAGTGACGCTTTCTAGGCCAGTGAAGCCGAGTCTAGGCCAGCTCTGGGTCTCTGCTGCCAACATGGGTTCTGGCTCTTGGAGGAGCAAGGGGTAGCTAGGGCTGGGCAAGGATGTGTACATGATGATGGATGTGCTGCAGGATCCAGCAGAGTGGAGGTTGAGTCTGGGCAGAGGAGGGTGTGGCTGGAAGGGAAAGCTGGAGAGGATCCTGGGAGGGAGGGCAAGCTGGGGAAAGACCTGGAGTGTGTGGTTGGTGGTCAGGAAAGGACTGGCCACACCTGAGGAAAGCTGAGGAAGGTTTTTTCGTTTGTTTGTTTTTGCTTTTGTCATTTAAAAATACTTCAAAATGTTTCTCTAAGGAGTAAGAACGCTTTTAAAGCATAACTTCATCACCACTAGCACACCTAAATAAAACACTTTCTCCCTACCATCAAATATCCAGTCAGCACTCAGTTGCCCTTACTGTCTCATGAATTTGTTTTTATTTTGTTGTGCTTTACAGTTCTTTTTGTTGCTCAAGTCAGGAAGCAAATAAGGTTGCAATTAGTTGCTATGTCTCTTAAGTCTTTTTTTCAACCTGTAGGTGTTATGTCTCCCCCCAACACCCTCTCCCCCTACCATCTCTCTATCTCTCTTTACCTTGAAGTTTATTTGTTGAAGAAGCCTGGTCATGGGCTCTCTAGAGTTCTCCATCATCTGGATTTTGCTATTAGTGTCACTGTGGTGTCATTAAATATGTTCCTCTGTCCCATGACAGTAAATTGGTCTGGGGAAGTGCTTGAGCAGGGGTCAGAGTTGTTTATAGAAGCTGCCTCTGAAGGGATGTTAGGAAACCAGGGGCTTGAAGGGGCCCCCAAGGGGGCTGGGCAGTGACCCTGGGGATGGAGCCAGTTTTGGCCTGAGTGGTAGAATGGAGGACAGTCAGGAAGGAACACAAGCTTGTGAGTCCAAATGGGTGACTGCTTGGCTTTGGAAAATCCAGAAAGAGAAGAGTGGAAGAGGAAGAATAGAAAGGGTCACAAACTTCTTTTTTTTTTAGCACCACAAAAACCAGACTTTTATTTTTATTTGGGGGATCATGGAAGGTTTTTTTCTCCTGATTTTTTATCATGAAAACATTCAAAATTATAGAAAAGTGAATAGTGCAATGGTCATCACCACTGAGGTTCAGTAATTAACATTGTGCTAAATTTGCTTTGTCTGTATGTAGATAAATACAGGCATATCTCATTTTATTGCACTTTACAGATATTACATTTTTTTTTCACAAATTGAAGGCTTGTGGCAACTCTGCATTAAGCAGATCTATCAATGCTATTTTTCCAATAGCGTTGGCTCACTTTGTGTCTCTGTGTCACATTTTGGTAATTCTTGCAATATTTCAAACTTTTTCATTATTATTATATTTGTTTTGGTGATCTGATCAGTGATCTTTGATGTTACTGTTGCTAAAAGATCATAGCTCACTGAAGGCTCAGATGATGGTTTGCATTTTTTAGCAAGAGAGTATTTTTAAATTAAGGTATGTATTTTTTTTAGACATAATGCTATTGCACACTTAATAGACTACAATATAGTGCAGACATAACTTTTGTATGTACTGGGAAACCAGAAAATTCATGTGACTCCCTTTATGGCAGTATTTGCTTTATTGTGGTGGTCTGGAACCAAATCCACAGTATCTCCATTGTATGAACTATTTGAAAGTGAGTTGCAGACATCATGATACTTCATCCCTCCACATGTCAGCATGCATCTCCTAAAAATGACAGTCCCCTACATGACTATTAGACCTATTGAAGAAAATAGGAGAAAAACAAGTCAGCGCAGGGCAGGCTAGGTGGCTCCCCCAGAGATTCTGATTGTTCTTCTGGACATGGAACCATTCCAGAGGGACAGCTGCAGCTGGAAAGAGCAGGGCTAGTGTAGTTGATAGACTCAGTCTAGAATGCTGGCTCTGTCAATTTTTAGCTGGGTGACCTTAGGTAAATGGCTTACCCACTCTGATTTTCAGTCCCTCCTAAACCTACTTGCTTAACTTGTTTTGAGACTCAAATGAGGTTGTGCACAGTGGCTGGCACAGAGTAGGTATTCTTTGTTTTTATTTCCCTTCCCAGCCTCTGTTTATAGCCTCTTGCACTTAACAGGCATTCAATAATTGTGGAATTCATTAATTCAGACGGTCTCTATTTATAGGGTGCCTACCCCGTGCTGTGTGCAAGGCCTTGAAGGTGTAGTGGTGAGCAAAACAGACATGATCCTTGCCCCAGGGGAACTTAAGAATTGTGGGGGAGACAGAGTTAGAAGAAGCACTAGGAGGGTGAGCCTTACGGGGCTGCAGGAGGGCAGGGAGGGCTTTCCCTAGGAGGGACTGTTGAGGTGAGAGCAAAGAGAAGCTTGAACATTCACTGGACAAGGAGGAGCAGAGGGACTAGGGAGATGAATGATACCATGCTGATTCTCTGGCCTCGGCTTCCCCACCTGTAACACGGGGTGCGAACACTGAGGACTCGAGGTCATCGTAGACGGGGATATGTTCTGTCCCCTGTGCCATTCTCCCTCCAGTTCCCTCTGCAGAGGCCCCACCAGTATCTGAGGCCCCTGTTCTCTCCCACTGTCCGTTTTGCAAGGCTCACCTCCTGCTTTTCTCTCCTCAGTGTTGGACAGGTGGTGAACATCAAGGCCAAGGTGAACCGGGCCTTCAACTCCAGCATGGAGGTATGTGGGGCGGGCACTGGCTGGGGTGAGTGGGCGCACGGGTGGGGTTTCTGCCTCCTCTCCACTCTCAGCCCCCAGCCCGGGCACACCCACACAGAGCCCTGGTTGATGCAGCGGAGTTCTGAAACAGCTGGCAGGGTTGGGAGGATCCTAAGGGTCTAACTGTCCAACACCCTGTAACACAGAAGGGAGAACTGAGGCCCAGGGAGGGGAAGGGACTTGCCCCAGGTCACCAAGTCACGTAGATTCCAATGTGGGCCTGGACTTCCAGTCTCCTGGGCCTTCACACCTGGTCTCAGACCCTCTCTTCAAGGGCTAGGTGGTCTCAGGAATGCAGGAAGATAGCCGCTGTGCCTGACCCTGGAGGCAGCGTGGTGGAGTGGGAAGGGCACTGGCCTTTGGCCCATTAGCTTACCTCACACACAGCCTCTGTCTCCCCATCTGTAAAATGGGAACATGATTCCTATGCTATAGGGATGTTGAAGGTTTAATGGGAGGACTCTTTGATGATGCACAGGGCCTCTATTTCCCACCTAGAGATGTCAGGCCCAGGCAACTTCACCTAGCTGGACCAGTGGTTAGTGAGGAACCACTGAGGCTGGAATAGCAGGGTCCTGACTGTACCTCTGGCCCCCTATAAATACTAAGATTCTCCCCCTCTGAGGACCCCCTCAGGTATCTGTCCTTCCAATTTAGCCAACACTTTATTTACTTCAAGCCCTTTCATAAACACAGTCTCATTTTGATTCTGTCAATAACCCTGTGAGTGTAAGTACAATCATTCCCATTTTACAGATGAGGAAACTGAGACCCAGAGAAGGGAATGACTTACCCAAGGTTTCCCAGGGAGCCAGGGGCAGAATCAGAACCCATCCCAGGTCTCTGGCCTTCTGGACTTGGTAGGTGATAAAGAAATAACCAGAGGTCAGGTCTGGGGTGAGACTTCCTGTCCGGAGCTGTGGGGCCTCAGGTTGGTGAACCCTATTTCTTCCCTCCTCACTTACCCATCTTGCTCTTCCTCTCCAGGTGGGCATCCACGTGGCCTCTGAGGACCTGTGCTCTGAGAATCAGTGGAACGTGTGCAAGGCCTTGGCCACCTTTGTGGCCCACCGGGAGCTCTCCAAGGTAGGTGGCTACCCCTGGCCACCCGATGCTGCTGGGCCACCTGGGCATCTGCCCAGGACAGTGGTTCTAGGGGTTAGTGGAAGGCTAGAGGGGGCTATGGTAGGGGTACCACAGCCCCTAGAGGAAGGCCCCCTCCCCTACTGCAGTTGAACTCCAGGCACCTCTCCGCTCTGCTCTTCCCCACCTCTCCCTGTGCACCTTACGCAAGGATCCTCCAGGTCTCCCTGTTCCCTTCCATGCCCTGCGTTGACACCCCCCCATCCAAGGTGCCTTTGCTGAAGAAGGGGAATAGGGACACTGGAGGATGAAATGATACATCAGTCAACATGGAGACAGGAAGATGGGGACAAAGAAGGGATGAAGACTTGTAACCACCTAGCAGCCCCGAGCATGAGATGGTGGCTGGGAGGGCAGGCCCTTGTGCTATTTCAGGGAACCTGTCCTGAGCATCTCCCACCCTACCCGCATCTACAGGTGAAGCTGAAGCAGACCACGCCGCAGACAGAAGAGGAGAAGACGGAGCACAGCGTGGCAGCCGAGCGCCGGCGCATGCGGCTGGTCTATGCGGACACCATCAAGGACCTCCTGGCCAATTGCGTCATTCAGGATGGTGAGTGGGTGTGGGTGAGGAGGGCAGCTGGCATCCTGCATGTCCCCCTCTGCCCTGGGTCTCCACTGGGCAGGGGAAGGAACAGAGTCTCTTTGAGATGTGTATCCATTGGCAGCCTCAGGCCTGGATGGCCTCTTGCCTCAAGGTCCCTCCAGGGAAAGGGGAGTGTTTGGACTTCTCACCAGCTCCCAGGAGCCATGAAGATGGAGCTAGGATACAGGGAAAACACTTTGTCATTCACAAAATGCATTTGGGTCTCTGGAAGTCAAGGTATTTGGGAAGGTGGTATTGAGCTTGGCCTTGAAGACCCTGGGACTTTAAAAAAAGCGTACAGATAGGTGGGTAGGTAGGTAGGTAGAGGAAGGTGTAGGGATAGAGATGGAGACAGAGAGAGAATAAAAGACAAGACTCTCTCTTCTACACAGAACCAGGCGCCTCCGGGTTGTCACTCATCTTTGGGCTTCTTTCCAGTCAGTGTTCCCTGCATATTTAAGCATCTACCTATTATTTCACCTTCCCTATTTACCCAAAAGGGAATGTCCAGTACATACTGTTCTATATCTTGCGCCTTTCCTCTTAAAAGCATATCTCGGAGATAGTCCCATACCAGCACACAAAGATCTCCTTTGTACTGGGAGGATTTTGATGGATGGAGAAATGAGGCAGGTCTTCCTGACAGGGGGTACAGGCTGGCCAAAGGCCTGGAGGGGTGACCCTGGATTTGTTTACTGATCTTCAGAAGGTTAGAATGCAGAATCTTCCTGGAAACCTAAAGGAGGCAATTTTAGGATCAACCAAGGGAAGTTCAGCTATCCAGAGTGGAGAGAGCAAGCTGAAGTTGTGAGCCCCAGGGAGAGCAGTGAGCTGTGCTCTGAATTCCGCATACCAGAGGCCATGGCTGGACAGGCCCAGCTCTTCCTACTGTCATCAAGGCCCTCTGGAACCATCCATCCCCTGCAGCCCTCCTGCCCTGACAGCCCTTCTACCCAAGGGCCAGTCCAAATGCCTTAGCCTGGCATCCGGGCCTTGGCTGACCGCTCAGCCAGGTCTGGTACTGCCCTTTTACTTGCCCTCAGCTCCAGCTAAGCCGAGGCCTCATTGCTCCCTGTGACTGTCCTGCCTGTCCTGTCTCCTTGCCTGTGGCATCTCTGAGCAGTCTGCAAGCCAAGGGAAAGGCACCTCTTTCATGGGCTTTCCCTGACACACTCTCTCTCCCTGGGAGATGGGAGGTGCATGGCACCTCCTTGGTGCTGAGTAAATGGAAGAATCTGGGTGGGGTAGGGTGGGGTGGGGGTCCTGGGAGACCCACAGGGAGGCTGTGCCCTTGGGAGTCTTCTCACTTCCCCGCTTCCTCTCCCTCCCCCTCCCCGGTCAGATCTGGAGAGCAGGGACTGTAGCTGCATGGTGCCGGCAGAGAAGACCCGAGTGGAGAGTGTGGAGCTGGTCCTGCCCCCCCACGCAAATCACCAGGGCAACACTTTTGGGGGCCAGATCATGGCCTGGATGGAGAACGTGGCCACCATTGCAGCCAGGTGAGGGGTGCTTGCTGCCTCTGCCTCCCCTCCTTTCTCCCCCTCCTTCCCTTGTCCAACTCCCTCTGGGCAAGAAACCCCATCCTGGTGTCGGCATTCAAGGCTTCAGAAACTTGGCTGTTCTATTAAGGTAACCCAGGGCTTTCAGACCCAGAGAACCAGAAAGGAATGATTTTTCTGTGAGCTCACCATTCCGTCCATGGTTCTTGTCACTGGCCTGAGAAGTGCCAAGCCCCTCAGCTGGCATGAGGGCCTCTCCTTGCCCTGGCCCTGCCTGCTCGCTTCCTGTGCTTTACACCCCTTGTAAATCAGGCCATGTGCTCTTCCCTTCTCCATCCTCCATGCTGCCAGTCCCTCCTTCACTCCTGGACTGACCTCCCGCCTTGCCAACCCCACTACTTTGTGTCTGCTAAAATCCTGCCCACCTCCTGCATGAAGCCTCTTTGACTGTCCCCTTCTCTCTAGAGGTAGATATAATTCCTTCCTTCTCCTGGAACCTCTGCCTGTCTGGGGCACGTTCTGCTCCAAATCTTGTGGCATTTTTTAACTTTATAGTTACGATAACTGACATTCAGGAACTGGCACTCTCCATGCTGTTGTACTTGCTGTTCCTTCTACCAGGGGTGCCCTCCCCGACCCATGTCCTCCTCAACCAGGCGAATTCTACCTCACCCTTTAGAGCCCAGCACCTGTGGCCCTTCCTTTGTGTTTAACCTGTGGACACAGTGCATAAGCAATGCCATTTTGGGCAGCCCCAGCTATTAATGCAGTAAGATCTCAGAGGAGGGTCAGAGTATGGGTAGTCAGGGAAGGCTTTGTGGAAGAAGACTACTTCAGCTGTGAATGATAAGTAGCCTGGGTAAGGGGAAGACTTCCAGGTAGTAGGGACAGCAGGTGCTAGGGTGTAAAGGTTGGAAGGAAAATGTTTACCCCAAGCCCTGCCCTTTCCTCTGTCACCTCAAATTCAGGGCTTTCCAGCTACGCATGTAGACCTCAGTGTATGAAGCTGTGAGATGGGACTTTCGTTCTCTTCCTCTGGGCAGAACTGTCACTGGGTTCTGGAGAGGGTGGGTCAGAGGGCGGTGCATGTGGTTCTGGGCTGGCTCTAGGGATGCGGGCAAGGGGAGAAGGCTGGCCCAAGCCAGTGGCTGATGCACAGGGGGCTTTTTTTGTCCTGTCCCTCAACCCCTGGCCTCCTCCAGCCGGCTGTGTCGAGCCCACCCTACTCTGAAGGCCATTGAGATGTTCCACTTTCGGGGCCCATCCCAGGTTGGGGACCGTCTGGTGTTCAAGGCCATCGTGAACAACGCCTTCAAACATAGGTGAGAGGCTAGGATGGGTGAGACGGGCCTCCTGGGGCTGCGGGCTCTTCCTGACCTGAGAAAAGATCTTACTGCAAACCTGCCAGGAACCCTTTCACCTGCAGATGAGGTCTGTGAGGTCTAAACCCTGCCTGCCTGCTGGGCCGCTTCACCATCACCAAGATTCAGCTCTGATGTTCCCTCCTCTGGGCTCCCCAGCCCTGTGCCTCCCACTGTCTCAGGTCATATCATGTGCTCAGTGTGTCTCTGTCTCTCTCCCTGGCTCCTGCCTTGGGTCCTGCCACACTGGATGCTCAGATCACAGGGCCACCGCTTGCCAATGTTTTGTTGTTTATCAGACCCTTTCCCACCCTTTTCCTAAAACAGTAATTAGTTCCCAGAGCACTTACCTTTGGAATGAATTCTGATACCACCATGAAAGCTTACTTTAAATATGTATCTCTTTTGGTGATTTCAAAGATTTGGTGATTTTCAATGATAGTATAGTCATTAAAAGTGATTTTTAATGATAATGTAGTTGTTAAAAATCTGGAGCTAGGCTACCTGGATTCAAGTTTGGCTCAACTCTTTATCAGCTGTGTGATTTTGAGCAAGTTATTTAACCCCTCTGAGCCTCAGTTTTTTTCACCTGTAAAATGGGGCTCACCACAACTACCTCACAGTTGTGAGGAGGATTCAATGAGGGGTTACCAGTGGAATGCCGGAGAAAATGTTCCGTGAAGGTCAGCCATTGCTGCTGCTATTATAATGATAATTATTATTATTAATTTATTTTTATTTTATTAAAACAAATTCGTGGTCTGCTGTCATGGCAGGGGAAAGCCCTGAACTAGGAGCTGGGAGTCCTGGTTTCTAGTGCAGATTCGCTTCTTGACTGTTGTGTGACTTTGAGCGAATTATTGCCCTATTTTAGGACTTAATTTCCCCATCTGCATAATGTCCACATCCTGGGGTCATAGACCTTCCTATGTGAGAGGGGATGGAGGTGGCGCTGGTCTATAATTAATAGAGACAGTTGGATATCCAGAAACAGCAGCAACTGAGCTGTCAGAGCGCTCGTGAATATGTGCAGAGTGAACATTTTCTCATTTCTCTGTCCCTCCACCTCCTTTCTTATGTCCTTCCACAATGCTTGCAGTTTATGTATTTTAATATGTACATTTATTGCTCCGTCCCCCAGTGGTTAGCCCATGAGGGCCTGGACTGGACAGGTTCATTCATTTCTGTGACCCCAGTGACTAGCATAGGGCCAGGCGTGCAGCAGGTGCTCTGTAAACATTGTTGGAAAGGAACAGCTTGGGTTTCCTGCCCATGGGACTCTGATGGGGGCTGCGGGAGGAAAGCAGGAGTGTGTGTGTGCGTGCGTGTGTGTGTGTGTGTGTGGTTGGGGGGGTGGCTGTGGGAAGGCCTGTCCCGCATGAGAACAGCCCTCCCTCCCCCTCAGCATGGAGGTGGGTGTGTGTGTGGAGGCCTATCGCCAGGAGGCTGAGACCCACCGGCGGCACATCAACAGCGCCTTTATGACCTTCGTGGTCCTGGATGCCAATGACCAGCCTCAGATGCTGCCCTGGATTCGACCCCAGCCTGGGGTGAGCAGGGGCAGGGTCCTGCCCCACCACCAGCCCCTCTCCCTGGCTGCCCAGGGGTGACACCTGGGGAGCACGAGCCCACCCTGCCCCTCTGCTGGGGCACAGCCAACTCCGAGTGCCCTGGTGTGACCCCCAGGGATGTCCCTTGAGCAGGGAAGACACCTTGTGCTTTCTGGAAGAACTGAGACCATGCGTGTGGGCCTGGCTTGTTGCTGGCCATTAACAGCAGAACTGGAAGAGCACTGTCTTTGGGGGCAGATGTGGGTTGGAGCCCCACCTTAGCCACTTCCCAGCGGGTGCCCTCTGCGAGCTTTCAGTCCCATCTGTAAAGAGGGCGTGTCTACAGTTCCTGCCTCGCGGGGCTGTTGCGGGGATACTGACTCCATGCCTGGCTAAGTAAGTGGCGACTGTTGTGACGATGGTGACAGGAGAGCAAAGAGCAATGGGATGAGAGTCAGGGACCTGTATTCAAGGCTGGCTCTTACCCTTGTGCCTTCTGTGGGCCAGGCTCTGGCTTGCTTCTAGTGGGGCAGGGAGCGACCTTGAAGAGGTTGCACCTTCTCTCTGGGAAGGTCCCCTGCCCTGCCTGCCCAGCTCACAAGGCGGAGCGTGGCTGTGAAAATCCCTGCTCCATAGCTGGGCGTTGGGCAGTCAAGACAGGTAGTAGGTGGAGGAGCGGGGAGTCCAGTGGCTGGCGGGACAGTGGACAGTCCCTGAGGTGCCTTTCAGGCCTTTGCCATTTAATGTTCATGAGTGAGGAGACGTTAGAAGTTGTGGTTCAGAGGGTGGGCTCTGAGTCAGGCCATCTGGGTTCTGTTCCTGGCCCTACTCCTTAACCCGGTGACCTTGGATAAGCCACTTAGCCTTTCCGTGCCTCAGTTTCCTCTCTGTAAAATGGGGATAGGACCAGTGCCAACCGCAGAGGGTTGTTGTAAGGCTTAGTTGAAGTTTTGCATGGAACTTTAGAAGCATGTCTGCCCATAACAGGTGCTCAATAAATGTGGGTTCTT